AAGGTGACTTGAACGTGTAATGTAACGTAATTCCATCTTTGTTAGTTTTACTTTACTGATATGATAGTGCTGAGTTGCTTTCATGATCGAAATAACAGCAACGTGAGGCACGTACTGCTTCTTCTCCTTCGGCATATTAACCAATTGACACAATTTGGGGTCATGATTACATTGGGAAATTCATATTTTTGCTTTTCTTTTACTATCACGTTTGTATTCCTTCGCATTTTCTTGACATCTTTGTTGAGTTTTGTCTGCCCCATTCACCTAAATGTAGCATTCGCTTGTAATTTGCTGACGGAATTGAGAATAAAACATACATTCTTAAATGTATAATTATATGCCTGCATGGTATGCATACAAACCCATTTTAATCCATATTTCACTAAATGCCTAACCACAATACTATAATTATAGGCATGTAGGCTATGGCTGGTGCTGTCCTTGTATTAACCCAAGCAACTGACTCAATCATTTGTCTTTTTAAATTGTTTTGGAATAACTTGCAAATACATAAATAAACAAAATAATTATGAAACGGAATGAACCAATATCTGGTGAAAATAAAGTCATAATACAAGATTACACATCATTCGCCCAACCCCCAATAACACTGACAATTCGTCATGTGTGGTTATTTGTTCACCATATTCAAAAGCCAAGGCATGTTTATTACGTGGAACCTGGTTTGTTGGAATATTAACGAGCGTTGTAGATTTGGTGAGGGAATCACTAAAAAGGAATTGCTTAATACGTCACCGAAAACATAAAAGAACCTTAAATTTTGATTTAAAGCTTTCGTGACTGCAGTAATTCATATTCTTAGTTTTTTCGGTAAAGTCACGTTGAAGAGAAACAACAAAATAACAAAATATATATAAAACAATAAAAATTGTTTTATTGTTTTATATATATTTTGTTATTTTGTTGTTTCTCTTCAACGTGACTTTACCGAAATATATATTTTGTTATTTTGTTGTTTCTCTTCAACGTGACTTTACCGAAAAAACTAAGAATATAAAAGAACCTTGTTATCTTCATTATTAACACTACTCTCGAACAAAATATGGATTTTAAATACCCAATTGTCTTGAAGCTTATCATTGCTCTCAATGCAATGAATTGTAAAGAGTCATCTGGCAGTCCTTTTTCTACTCTGAATATATGTCATCACCCGAAATGTTCGCCTATTACTGTCTATAATTTTTGCTTCTCTCGACATACTGACACTATTAGTCTGTATGTATGTGTATATATATTGAACTTCTTTTGCACCATATATAGCCAACCGTGATAATCGGAGGTGTGGTAGAAGGACAATAAACTAAACACAAAAAAAACTGGACAATGTCCCTTTTCATAAGATTTTTTGGGGGAAATGTTTTTTCCATGTCTATATCACCAACAGTGAGGAAACTTGCCAAGGAGAAGTGGATCTACCATTTCATCAAGATGCTAATCTAATGCTGTACTAATATTGCATGCACCGGTGTACATTTACCAGACATCCCAAGAAGAACTATCATGGAAATGAGACTTGAGACGCTTATCTGGTTAAATAAAGTCAAAAGAGCATTGTGCTGGTGCTCATCTTCATGGATGGCTGAGCCAGTGGTTGAAATCTTTCAAAATTCCTATGGTGGGGGGCAAATTTCTCCAAAGTATTTCCACTTTGACTCACCACTTTAAGGTTGATGGGCTGAGGCAGTAGCTCTGAACCAGCATTTGCAATATCAACCTTCTGCTTGTGAGTCAAGCACTCCGATCATATGCCACCAAGCCAGTTGAATAAAGGACTAAAAAGTTGTAAACTGAGTGTACCAGCCTGCAATAGATTAATGTGTCCGTCCGTCCGTCTCCTTTCAATACTTTAACGAAGTGAAATCTCGTGCTGTTGGGGTGTAAAAATAAAATTGCGCAAAATTCCAATGTTCCTACCAGCCCACCCTGCAGGGACCTGTTATAATGTTGTATACCATTGAACACATTTACTGCATTCGGCCACATGCAGCCTGTTTACAAAGATATAATTTGCCCAGAGTACAGCGCATAGGATCAGTTGCTTAATCTGCAAGAGAAACATGGTCTCGTTCAGAATGAAATGTTCATCTTGATGTCTCCTGTGGAGAACAGCAGCCTGGAAAAAAATTGTTCACATTACTCTGCCGAGTTGCATTCAACTGCAGCAGACAGATCACACTATCCCAGCAAGAGCTCTGGCTTTAATGGCATGGATTGGGAACGTTTATTCATGATTTTAGCACATGTAGCATCTGCCGTATTCGTTTTGCCACTTATTTCTCACAACTTGCTTTTGAGGCAAAGAAATAACCAGCTGAGGCAGATGAGCCTTGAAGGAAAACGTAAGCGTGACTTATTAATTCACTCATGGGAAGCTTGAGTTACGGGAAATGAAATTAGCACTGTGTGATTATAACGAATGGCAGCATAATAGATACGTAACTCACTCCACCGCGATCTCCACAACCTAGGTTTGATTCCTGGTCATGATAATTATCGACCAGCCAACACTGAATATTAGCAAACTAGTATAGATCTGTGCTATGAAGAAGGGCCATTGCAGAAATAATCACCTATGTTATATATTGTTTTTTATTTTAAGGCCACAGTTTTATTGATGAACGTGAGGGTGTGCTTGAGGTTCACTCGGCCTAAAATTAATTAATAAGTAGTATGGTCATTACCAGCAGCACTTGTGGGCAGACACGTTTGTGACTAATCAGATGAACCTAATCTGTGCGTTTCAGGGCCTTAATAGGTAGATGCTCATTAATTATATATGGGAGATCTCGGTCTGTTTTGGTATTGGGGAGGGGTGATGGTTAACGCACACATTTTTGCAACCTATATTTAATTTGTGGCCTTGCACACTGATGCCAATTTGACAGCTATATGCACTGGGGGCCTCCCTGAGGTCCATTCAGCCCAGATAAGTATATGATGTAGGTATATCAGTAAACACGATTTAATGGAGACATGAGGATACGGTTTTCATGCCATGCTAGGCACATTAACAGCACTCGCCTGAACGGGTTTTACGGACTATAATTGCAATCTTTCTGAATATGTGTGTGCAGACTGTGCACGCGTTTGTGCGCGTGCTTTTGTTACGTATTTGTGTAATCTTGTGGATGTATCCGCATGCATTTTATGTGAGTGTGCTTGAAAATGTATGTGGATGTGCATCAATGTGTGCAGCTTGTGTCTTGTGTGCACCTGAGTCAAGAGTTCATACAAGTGCACAAGTGTGGGTGTGTGTTCAGTGTGAGCGTGCTTGTGTGTACGTACATACAGGATGGGATGCATTGGCTGAATACAAATTACTTTCAGATTGCAGTCACTGGGAAACACAGCTGCAATAAAATGCATAAAATAACCTGTGGATGTGTTGCCGCAATGCCTATCATTTAAGGTGGAATTTTAGAAAAGAGCAAATCTGATTTCAGTATGAAACGCAAAAGCATTTATATTATATATCCTGCTAATCGACTTTTTAAAAAATTACATCTGACATTAAGGCTGTGGTAAGCCACGTAATGCGTTATTATTTCACAGCCAATGTCCAGATCAAGAAGTGATCACGCCACACCGATGTCACCACGCCAACAGATGTCACCACGCCACACCGATGTCACCACGCCACACCGATGTCACCACGCCACACCGATGTCACCACGCCACACCGATGTCACCACGCCACACCGATGCCACCACGCCAACAGATGTCACCACGCCACACCGATGTCACCACGCCACACCGATGTCACCACGCCACACCGATGTCACCACGATGTCACCACGCCACACCGATGCCACCACGCCAACAGATGTCACCACGCCACACCGATGTCACCACGCCACACCGATGCCACCACGTCACACCGATGTCACCACGCCACACCGATTCAACTACACAACATCATTCTTTCCATGATTCTTCCAGATCCTACAACACTTGTACAGCTGACACCCACGGACACCCAATCAACCACGGCCTGCTCGTTTTCGTCGTGTTACCGCTCCCTCGCATCGAGACTGTCCCACGGTCACTGATTTCTGAGTGCCACTCAATTTTTCACCTCATTAATCTGCCTGTAAACAAAAACACACCGGTAATTGTGTAGTGACGTTAAGGATGTCGCTATGGTGTTAGCGTCCAGGCACTGTCACAAGAGTGCTGCTGTGCGTCTGGAACCTCTCCCTGGGGCCAGAGTGAGTACGGCATGCGAGCGGGCCCTAGGGGGCATAGTCCTGGTGGCGGCCTGAGAGAGGGCAAGTCAGGACATGGTCGTCTGGGTGAACCCGAGAGGGCACGTGACCGGGACAGGGTAGTGAGGGGGGCCCGAAGGGGGCTTGAGGGACACGTGATGCTCGGTCGAGATCCTTCGGGAAAGGTCTCGAAGGGGGCGTGGTCGAAGGCGGAGCGAGGCCACGCTCAGGGGCATAAAGGGGCAGTCCCGAGGGCGTTCTTGGTTGTTCTCTGGAATCAACCGTCGGTGCTACGTCTCTCCGATCTTCGGTCTCCGCTCGGCATCGTAGGTCAGTCAGGACATTTCTGGATGACCCGGTTATGCAGTTACCCTGTTAGGGTCTAGTGTGTGTACGTGTAATAAACGTGTTGCCTCCAAGTCAAGTGTGTGCCTCCGTGTTCAACACTACAATTGTAATTCCTTGCAGTAATCATGAAGACTGACTCAGTGGAAACAGACCGGATTAATGTATCAAGTGAAGGATTAATATGTTTTGTATTAAGAAAATGAATTTTTGATGTTATCCCTTTAAAAAGCAAATACGATGATTGGGTAGCTTAGGAGGTTCATAAAGGCCACATCAGAGACAGTGAGATGAAACCACAGCTACAGGTTTTTGGGTGTAGCGAGCGTGATGGTCTCGTCACAGTCACTGACGATTGCGTAATCAAATTTGGCTTTTGTTTAATTCTACTTATTCTTCTTCTTCCATGCGTTTGTCCCGCTGAGGTGGGGTCCGCTGTCCTTGTCAACCTTCTCCACGCTGCCCTGGCCTGCGAAATCTCTCGTTCCGCTCCTCGGGCCACCAAGTCCAATCTACTTCACGACAGAAAATCAAGATACTTGTACGTACTATGTGACTGACGCGCCGAGAACAGCAACAACATTGCCGTCTGGTGTTGGGTGAGAGAGCATTGAAGTAACTAGAGAAGTCATTCAGTGTTTCCATCTTCCAGGGTCATCCCCTGACATTGCTGCAAAAAGTTCACGTCATGGCATTACTCTGAAAGCACAACTGAACATAATTGTACATCTCTTTGTGTCTGAATTACAGTTGACTGTGTTTATTTCAATCAATTTGGGAAATATATTATTTGGAAATATATTATAATAAAATGTATGCCTGTTCTTCACTCTGTGTATATTAACTGTCATTGGACTTTATTTCTAATTTACAACCGTTTGTAATTGCACACCTACACTGAACACGAATGTTGCAAAACAGAGTCACACACTCCCTGCTGTCTGTACGTCCTCGCGCGCCAATCGGTGCATTACTTCTTAACATTTCACATGAATCGGCTACCGGTTCTTGACTTTTAGAACTGTAATCAATAATATAAACGGTTCCCAGTTTAACAACCCTAGTTCTATAAAGCCAAACACAAGGTGCGGTTCAAAACATGCCTTGTCACCTTGTCACCCCACTGCTGATGCTTACATACTGTACCAGGCCACCTCGGTCTTAAATAATTACCCGGTACAGAATGTACAGAATATACCACTTACATTTACCAAATGCCACCAGTGTGCATCATTATCAGGAGTCGAATCCAGGCTTCCAGGATCCTTGCAGTGCTCAAACCACTGCACGCCACCGCTTCACAAATATCACGAAGACACACACATACACACGAAATAAAATGTATGTCCCTCAAACTGTGACAAAATAAACCTCCACAACCCTTTGTTTTCGTTTTGAAGCTCTGGATGTTGGTAAGCCTTTGCTGTGTTTTCACTAGAATCGTTTAAAGGGGGACGTTTGTCGTCGTGGCCCCAGGCTTATGCAAGCCCCACAGGGGTCTGATACTTAAAAAAATAAACAAAGGGATGTGCTACATTTTTGACTTAAAGCTTTCGTGACTGCAGGGATTCATATTCTTGGTTCTTTCGGTAAAGTCACCACCACGTAGAAGGGAATTTTTTAAAAAAAGTTTTTTTTCTTGCTGTGGTTTTCACACCTGATGACGATTGCTTGTGTTGCAGTCGAAACGTCGTGAGAATTTTATTGTTTTATATTTTTTTATTATTTTATTGTTTCCCTTTCTACGTGGTGACTTTACCGAAAGAACCAAGAATAGGATGTGCTTACAATTCCTACCCACAATGCTGAGCTGGGAGCAGAGGACACGGATCACTCCACAAATAAGCCAGTGCATTTTCATTGTGGTGCTTTTCTGGCAATGACCCCAACAACATTGCAACCAGCTGGTGCTTTGAGTGAATGTGCACAGGTAATTGTGTGCATAGAAGCCGCAGCGAGTGGTAGCGTAACGGCTTCGTGCACTGCGCTACTAACTTTGGCGACTGATTTCAATTCCCAGTCACGGCGAACATCAGTGGCGAATATCTGAACTGGTTTTTTGCCACTCAACATTGAGTGAGTATTCTTTGGGTCTTTCGGTAAAGCCACGTAGATAGAAAAATAATAAAATCAATAGAACATAAGATATATTTTTCTTGCCTCAGCAGCTCTCCCGCTATATTTTTCACCTGGTGACGATTGCTCGTGTTGCGATCGAAACGTCGTGATATTGTTATTATTTTATTAATTTTTATTAGTTTTCTATCTACGTGGCTTGACCGAAAGACCCAAAGAATGTGAATTCCTGCAGTCACGAAAGCTTTAAGTAAAGAATTACGTGAGTACCTGCTGTGAGGTGCAAACATCAGAACTGGGGAGATAAATGCGGCCACGCGGGTATTGTGTATTGTGCCAGCCTTAATAGCTGCTCGTCCATAGCATTTCCGAAACAGGCTGTAAAAAGGGTTATATGGAAGATATTTGTTTTCGTACTGTATAAAACTGTGGGTTGTGGTAGTGTAATGATTAGCACATTTCGCTCCAATCTCAGCAAACCTGGGTTTGACTCCTAACCATAGATACAATCAGTATTATCCGAACTTATCCAGGAATGAGTAAGATTTAAATGAGTACCTGGTGCCGAATGAACATCAGCCACTGCAACTGTTTAAATCGGTTATCGAGAATGAGCTTTTGACATTTCTACATTGAAAAACATCTTTAATGGGTTACATTTAAATTTCAAAATTATATTGTCTTAATTTTATTGTAAAAAAAATGTAAGCGCATATTGTACAAGGGAAAATAATACGTGTGGGAATTTGTATACGTGTGTACTGGGTTCTACGGAGGCACACACACGAATTTTGTGGCAACACGTTTATTACACGGCCCCAACAGGGTAACTACATGAACGTACACTGGTTAACTAGACCACAACGGGGTAACTACATAACCGGGTCAGTCAGTAACACACTGCCTGACCCACGATGCCGAGCGTAAAGACCGAGGATCGAGGATTGAAGAGACGTAGCACCGACGGGTTCCATTCCAACAGACAGCCCGGATCGGCTCTCGGGACTTCCCTTTTATGCTCCTGAGCGTGGGCTCGCCCCACCTTTGGCCACGCCCCCTTCTGGATCTCACCAGAAGGGGCGTGGCCTCGTTCCGCATTCGGCCACGCCCTCTTCTGCATCTTACCAGAAGGTTCTCGACCGAGCATCACGTGTCTCTCAAGCCCCCTTTTGGCCCCCCTCGTTACCCATTTCCAATCACGTGCCCTCTCGGGTTCACCCAGACTGTCACGTCGTTACTTGCCCTCTCTCTGACCGTCACCAGAACCATGCCCCCTAGGGCCCGCTTCCATGCCATACCTACTCTGGTGCCAGAGAGAGGCTCGAGACGCACAGTTCCATTCTTGTGACAGTAGCCGGGGCTAAACGCCACAGTGACTCCATTTACATCACTACACGTGTATATTTAAAACAAAACCACATTTATTTCAACTAAATTGTTCTTCGTAGATAACGGCAAGGACACATCGTAATCTGCTCTGAATCTCCGACAAAAGTATTGCCACACACTTTATTGCAGAATTAATTGGAAGCAATGCAAAGCATGCTTGTAACATCCTTCAAAGACCCATCGTATGAAAACCCATGTGCATGAAGGCCGAATTGTAATCATGTCAACCAATGACCAGCCTAAGATTATTTTGTGAGTCCCTGGCTTTTTGAAATTTCGGCTGAAAAATCTCAGGATGCGACTGAAGAATCTCAGTCATGCAGGCTCAGTATGGCCATGACCCACTGCCATTCATGCCAACGCACTTTGCCTTAATTTCCTCCCTTGTGCCAGACCTCACATTTATTACACAGTTGAAATTCAACCTCCAAGGTCGTCTCTTATCGTATCTCACCATGTGACTTCAGGTCTTCCCCGTGGAAGGCAAGCGTGACAGCACTATATTCTTTTGGTCACAATTAACCACTCCATTGGTTTATTTCCATCAAACAAAATAAGTAGATGAAGCGCTAAATATGTGTTTAATTGCTGAAATCATATAACATGCAATGGCTTTACCGATTTATCATTAACCACCATCATTTATCCACTGCTGGATGAAGGCTTACCATAGCTGTTTTTATATTTGACTATCTTCTTATAAAACACTTAATCTAGCTTCTGCACATGAGCTGAATTCATTGCTCCATGGTGGATGGCCTCTGGGACATTTCCCCGCATTTGATTGCGACTGGTGTTATTCTACATTAGTATATCCCTCTAAATAAGCGCATTGATTTTATAATTAAAAGCAGGGTCACTGTGAAATTCATCCCCCAGATAACAAATATTCTGAGGAAAAAAACACAGCCTATTGAAGACTATTATAATTTGTGATTTGAATTTGAACACATTCTTTCATGAATACATTACTGTGTGGTTTTCTGCAGGGCACACACACACACACGCGACGTCCATGCGTAGAACAAATAAATAAATGTTGTCTATGTTGACATGAGTTCATCGAGTGCTACAATAGCATGATTATTTTTCAATGGACAGGAAGCAAGTGATAACAGAACATTTGGAAAACCTTCATGTTATTATGGGAAAGGTGACTGGTTTTAAGTTAAACAAAACTGAGTTTATTTTTAATCATATTTTACATAAACACGACTCCATATAAAATCCCCAAATAAAAAAAACCACACAATTTAAAAACAATTAATTTGGCCAGGTAGTCCTGTGGTTGGAACACTCGACTGACAATCGAAGGGTTACATTTTAAAACCACTCTGGGGACGATTTGTGGGAACCCTGCAGTGATTATCCAATGGAATAACTGCCCCCTGGAATGGGAATGTGGAATGTCCGGCACTCATTCATGGCTGTAATTGTAGATGACCACCGCATCATGCTCATCGTGCACGCACTTTGACTCAGAATCAATCCATACTTCATTTTACTCCTTGAAAAATTGTTCAAAACCACAATATACTGTCTATAGTATGTGCATATTGGTATGTGTATTAAACGTCATATAACATTCATAAAATCGTATTCCAATTCGAAAACAGTGTGGATAACATTCACGGCGTGATGCATGATTCTTCTTTGCCAAAGAATATGAGAGCAGCGTGACCTCTAGTTACAGTGTTCTGAGCTGTGCTCATAAGGGTGTGCAAAATGAAATGAGTGCTGTGTCACCCCACCTACACTGAGTTTCACTGGCAGCCCTGGAGCACTGCATGGAAGAGGGGTGGGTTTGGGTGGGATTGTCTATATTACACGTATCTGTGTGCTTGTTATTTACAGAGGTTTGGGAAATGACCTTAATTACTTTTGTAAAAACGGAGTAAATGGACTTCCAATTAAAACCACTTACCACTCCACATTAAATTACAACTACGCACTTACTACTTTGTGGGAAATCAACAATGGTTGTCCTGTAAGTAACTTTCCCATTACTTCGTACATATGAATGTACGATGTAGGCTCAAACTTGCTTAGTTTCAGAGATCAGGTGAGATCGGTGCATTCATGATGATTTGATCATGATGAGGGCCAGTATCTTCAAAGATAAAATCATGAATTGGTTTCTGCAAAGTGGCACTAATTTGATGGGCTCAGAGGGATGATGAGCTGGCTGAGCTAATCCCATACCAGGCAGGAATTGAACCCATGGCCAAGTGTGAGTGAAGCACTCTGGCAGAGTATCACCTGACCAGATATTGTTATCATGACCATAACCATATGATTCTATATTATGCCTTGCCCAGCTTTCATCGTAATAACACCTCCGATTAACACGGTTGGCTAGGTATGATGCGAAATAAATTCAACATGCATACAACAATTGTAATTTAGAGCACTTTGCTGATCCACTGCTGGATGAGCAGTTTCCCAGGATAGCTTTGGATCTCATTCGTTACCAGGAACATACAATTCCTCCAACCAGCTTAGGGCGGCCCCCACTGCAATGCTCCATGATTGTTCGAGCAGGCAGACACTTTGATTTTTAATTGAACGTAACGGATATCAATAATGCAACTAATACCAGCGCACGATTTATTTAGAACTACTGTAATGTCACACAATTTATGTACAATATTATCCAAAATGATGAGCCCATGAAACGAACAAAAAGTGGTGATGCTCATGTGTAAACTGAACACCAGATGGATTGCCTGGGATGCTAATGGATGCAGTGCTTATCTGTGAAAGTGGGAAAGTCTCAGACTTTCTGAATTACAATTCTGCAATCGTTCTGTTCGTATGTAAGGCGTTTCCCTGGACACATAGCTGAGATGCAACACCTCGTTTTGCAGTGTGGCGAATTAGCCAGGCATGGGGTCACAGATAAGCATTGTAGCCAAAACACGGATATGGCGCTGTGCCGTAAATAACGTGGATTCAGGTGCAGACGCCTATTGCTGAGAAAGACGTGTGAGGCCATTATAGCATAGAATTATGATGTATTTGAGACACAGTGGCAAAGAGGTTTTAGTCTATTACATGATATATTTATCTCATTGTCAGTGTTGTTGCCAATTTTTACATGTTATTCTTGAGTTTATTTTACAGATGGACATTCTACAAATGTGCATATTTGAATAGTATACACGAGTTGTCAATATTCTACCCCATTGATACTGTTTTTCGACTACAATACTTATCTAACAATCGGAAAGTTGAGAGTTCTTATCTTGGTTGCCGGTCCACCTCTGCCATTATCCCTCCATTGCAGGTAAAATGAGTACTGCTTTATAGAAATCCTACAGTGCTTGTCCTATGTCATGATGGCTACAATTGGCTCACTTAACGCCAAATTTAATTAGCACCACTCCGCACTCCTTTGAACATGACGGCATGTTGACCTTTGACTTATGTTCCCAAAATACACATTAAAATAAATATATATTTGTGGCTTTAATAGAATTTGCCCTCTCGCAGCAAGGAATTAAGCTGCAAGGCGCATTATGAGAACTAATGTCCGTATCGTTACTTTCATCAGCTCACAAGTGGCTTTTAAGTTATGTTTAATTGCCAGTTCTTTTATTAGGGCCATGGCAGTGGCGATGTTAATCGAGGTGCCTTGCAGCGACATGAACCAGGGCTGTCTCCCATGACATTTTGCCAGGACAAGCCTTGCAGGCTTCTCTCCTTCATTCTCACACTGACAAATGTGTTGCTGGTTCAGCTTATTACTCAAAGTTTAACACTGATCTTAAAAGGCTTATAGTTCAGGAAGTCACATCTTTTTTTAGCTCAGAATTAAGAAATTACTTTAACGTTTGAAAAAGAAAATAAGTAAGTCAATGATGTAGAAAACATGTACTTTAAAAAGCATTTGTAGTGCACTTTGAAAAGGCATAAGTTGAGGTTCAATAGGCAATGCTCACCCTCATTGACGGTCCTAATCCAGTGTTGGGAATTACAGCTTTCAGCGATATGGGGCAGTCTCTCCAGGATGCAGCTTCTTACAAATTGGTACTTATTTGATCAACCCTGGAGTGATGATAGGTCGAGTCAACCCCAGAGTGGGATTTGAACTTGTGATCTTGACAATGTTAAAGCACAGCACCAAGTGGTCGGTAAACAAACTTAAAAAAAAAATCTGTATTGCAAATTGTATTATAACAAGTGTACTTTGGTAGGGACAATCACTCACGAAGACTCCGAATACGAACACAAGGATGTTGGACTCTATCACCAGCAGAAACACCATTTTTTGAGAGCATAGCAGAGGAAGGAAGGGCGTAGTGGGAGAGAGTGGCCGCAGAAGTTTACCTTACTCAAACATAAATTGTCTTATGGTTGTTATTGTTTGTCTTGCATCACACTGGGATTTTTGCACACAGCGTTGTAATACGGTGGGTTTTTTTTTCTGGAAGATTTGCTGGTTTATCCCAGGATGTTTCTGTTGCGCGCCGTCGCTTTAAGATGTTTCTCTGTTCATATTTTGTTTGTTGCGGTTGCACCCGGCTCAAGAGCCGCATGGCTCACAGGGCTACACCCAATAAATTAAACTTGAAAACTTGAAAGCTCAGGTAGTGTGCACAGTGCATAAAAAAAAATCACATGTTGCAATGTGCATCCTTTAGTCTCCTCAACAGCGTTACTTGCACCTGCAATCTAGTCGTTACACGAAAAAGTAGGCCACATTCTTCGTTAAATGTGTGTGGAATCTCAGTCAAATGTGCGATATAGGAAATGTGCGATATGGGAACAGGTCCCTGCAGGGTGGGCTGGTAGGAACATTGGAATTTTGCGCAATTTTATGACATTGTTACTTCCAAATGTTGGGTGCAATAAGATATATCAAGTCTCTGCGCTGTCTATTGCTGATTTTACACCCAACCGCACGAGATTTCACTTCGTTAAAGTATTGAAAGGGGACGGACGGACGGACACATTAATCTATTGCAGGCTGGTACACTCAGTTTACAACTTCGTTCCTACCAGTATGAGGTCTGTACAGTATTGGGTGCTGTATTTTATATTTGGTTCTGATTGGTTATTTCTGAATTCATGTTCATTATTGTATTAGTCACATAGGTCACGATCTTATGGGATTATTTCAACAGACTTGCGTTAAATTTCGGTGGTGCTTGGCTCCTCTAGAAGAAGACTGGCTCCTGTTGAATTCCTATCACTGGGTCAGAGCTGCCAATGGAATTGAGTACCACTACACACTCGTTAAGGCACCATTACTTGTTCTATGTTATTGATATTTAAATCCTGGGAACTTAGAGAGAATGTTGTTCGAAAGGTGCAAGAATTAATCAAACACCAACATTTCCATTTATAAGACTAGAATGTCAGGAAGATTCGTGGATTATGTTATAAGTAGGCAATTGCGTCTCATTTTACTACATTACTCCTTAATGGGCAGGTGTGTTCATTCATCCTTTAAATTGCCTTCGGAGTGTTTTGGTCCAGATTGCATTGAAGTTGCAATATGTGGCTGCAGGGTGTTTCTACATATCATGGCCTCATTAAGGGCACGTGCAATTTTCAACATCACTTTAAAAGAGTAATAATGTGTGTGTTAATGCAGTACTGTGCAGTATGAAAAATGAAATCAAATGTAGGTTTTACGCGGGACGGTTTCATGTGTATTACTTTTCAGTGGCTTGCGAAACGTCGTTGGAGAGAGCGATGTTGAAACAATTACATCATGGAAGAGGAGAGAATGTAAACGAGAAGAAATACAATCTCACAGTCCTTGTGGCAGGAGCTGCCAAAAACAAGGGGGGAAAGGCAAACATCCTATGCAGGTTTGTGCGCATGTACAGACAGCCCCTTGTGAATCCATTGCTGGATGAGGACCTTCGTATGCCATGAGGGTAGGTTGAAGGATGTAGGAGCACACGAGTACAGTACAACAATGGATTTTGCTTGCACTGCCCTCTGCCGCCCACCACACGGTCATTATAGCCTATGACACTATTTTTCATGGTGACCAATACAAGTGATACCTACTCTGATTAGCTTTTGAGATATGAATTAGAAATTGAGCACATTCCAGGTGATTTGGCCATCAGTCCCTAAAAAGGGTCTTGAGATTGAATTATGCTTTCTCGGTTAAACATAAATAACTGGTCTATCTGACGATGTGCTGCTGTGGTTATGGTGTCTCACAAAATGCATGAGTTCACATCATAGTGGAGGTTAACTCATCGCATCATCCCTCCAAGGCCAAGGAAATGAGAGAAGCCTACAATAGTCATCATGCACCATAAATAATGCGGAATTTCCAAAATATAGGCTCAAAGCTACGAGCGGATATGAGTGGCATCCCAATATTAGATCTAGCAGTTTATACATGTTGACTTACCTAAGACTTTGATTTCACCAGCAGTAGCTTTTGCACAAATCCATGCATTTAATCGTGCATGTGAAAAATAACATTTTGTTTATTTAAGCAAATGACTGTGTATGCAAATGCGTGAACAGTTCTACATGTAGGCAATGGGCAACAGCCAAAATGGTCATATGAGACAGACAAAAAAAAAGTGAAACAGTGCACAATAAAGGTAGTAAAAATTTTTTTTAATCTGACTACAAAATACATCTCTGGATCGAATCGTGGTCCTGAGTCGTGAAAATTGATCTAACCACCTTGGGGCGTGAATAATGACAACCTCAGTGGCTTCTTGTTCGTCTTAGTTCAAGTGCGGGCATCTTGCCTGGTGTGCTCGGTTCCACGTGCGCTCTCACGGTTCACTCCCACGCCAGGTGAGCCTGTGGGCCTTTGTGACGCACGGAGCCTCATCACTGCCGCCCGCCGCCTCCTCCTCCGCGTGCCCCACCAACACAAGGGAAGGCGACACCACCACCGACCACCACCGACCACCACCAATGACCTCCACTGATTAAAAAAAAATGAACCACACCTCAAACTGCGCTAAAGGCGTCCACTTTTGCACCCCCCCCCAATAAAGAAATAATAAATTCATACTAACAAGTCATATTGTTCTAGATTTGAAGCTTTCGTGACTACAAGGATCCATACTCTTTGGTTCTATTCGGTAAAGTCACGTAGGTAAAAAAATAAATAAAACAACAAAAATCACTGTTGTTTTACCTACGTGACTTTACCGAATAGAACCAAAGAGTAAGTCATATTGTGCATCTCATATGTTAATAATGTAAGTGGGATTTTTCAAGGGTTTTTTTGGGCAGTAGAATTGACACTTTCTGAGCCAACTCCAGAGCGCGCTAATAATCATCGATGAAGGCCGCTTGTGATGTGGCCAAAACGTCGTGATTTTTTGTTGCTTTATTTTTTTTTACCTACGTGACTTTACCGAATAGAACCATGGATCCTTGCAGTCACGAAAGCTTCAAATCTAGAATCATAGCAAAGTCTCTTATCGGGTTTGTTGCAAACGCCGAGTGCGGTCACCCGCAAGCAAGCACGGTGGTTCTTCGTGAGTTGTAAGTATTGCGTTTGATGTCTCATCACTTTATTTTAAAACTATCATTTGTATTTCTAAGAAAGCTGTTCAAGGTGTGGAACATGCTGTGGCTGAAACGTATCGCAAGCATTTTTTTTTAAACATGAGATGAATGAACGGGAACACGAAAGATCGTTTAACGAATGTTTGCTTACCGAGAGACAGATTTGCGGAACGTATCTCCGTCGTTAAGCGAGACACGCCTGGGAAAAATGCAATAAAACTCATCACATTCGCCCTTGAAACTACAGCTTGGTATATAATAGGCGACGTTTCGTGCAATGGCCCCTTTTCGCGGCACATAAATAGAGAAGCCTGAAGGCTTGAGCGGACAATAAGGGTCGGAGACTTGCGCGAATCGTGTAAAAGTATAAAGTTTAAAACGCAAAGGGGGGTGGGGGGGGGAGTAGTAACATCCCTTTGTAAAGCATAGCCTGCATAGGCGCACGCGTTTGGATCTCGTAGTCTGCATTAGCAGCCCAGTGGGAGAGTGGAGAAGGGGGGGAGTTGTGAGGGTGGGGGTGCACTACTTTTCTCGGCGCCGCGCGGCGCACGGATACACTCGCCGCGGTGCTCCGCCCCCCCCCGCCCGCCGCCGCCGCCGTCGTTACCCGCTGCCGCCATTTCGCCTCGGGCTCGTAGACCGAGGCGGCTTCCAGCTGCTGCTGCTGTCTCGTCGTCCTCATCCTCCTCATCCTTCTTCTTCCATAGCCACCACCACTACCGCCACCGCAACATTCCCTCACGGTCAGTGTCTTCCCTTCAGACACACAGACAGACACAGACAGACATTGTCCACAGCCGGAGTCGAACCGTGGCAGCGTGTGAGCGAGTCGAGTGGAGACTTTGGTCGTGAGGCGTTGAGGCGACGTTAAAACGAAGACGTTCGTGTAATGATGTTATTATCGATGTTACATGTCTCGCTAACCAGTCGCTCGCGTCGTTCCTTGTCGGATAAACTGGTCGTCGTTGGTGGGTAACTCTTGTGTGTTTTGTTACGATAGGGACTCGCAAACTTTTAACTCTCTTAGAGATGTCGCTATTGTGTTGTGTGTGTTGTTGTTTTTAAATTCCCAGTCCTTTAAAAGTTTTAAATCCACTGCGTTCTGTCATTACGGTGCTAATTGTACCGTTGTGGATGAGTTCCTATCGTTGCACGTGAAACTGCATTTGCGTTGAGGGAATGCGTGTGTGGTGGTGTCCTGTGATGGCAAGTGATGTTACACTACCGCCTTTTAAACTACACACGGGTCAACGTTGTTCGCGTTACTTGTAATGCAATGGTGATGTGATGTGTGTGTGTGCGTTTTGTGTAATTGTTTATCGATTGCTTTGGTTTAATAGATGTATCATTAACTCATTACTCGTGTGATTACCACCACAAGTTAAGCAGAACTTATCATTTCGATAGCAAGTGCTGTTATTAGATCGCATTTTAAATGCGAGGCGCTTAAAAGTTGTATTGGGCGCACGGTTATATTTTTTTATACTGCACAATTGTGTACGCCACGCGTTGCACACACCATGTAGAGTGTCTATGGGTAAATGTTTATAAGGCAATGTGTATTGTCTTGGGTTCATTGTGGCTGCTGGCTGGTGAGGAGAGAGGGGCTCGCTCGCTCGTGTTCAATATCAACATTCGGAGCAAAGCAACGCACGCCTCTAGGGGAACATAATCGTTGGTTCTTTCGGTAAAGTCACGTAATTATAGGGGAACCCCTACTGAGTGAGTCTCGTACCGACTGTTTGTCTCATAAAACTCCAGGTGTAGGGGAAAAGGGTGCTTTGCAAAGTTTGGCTGAGACATTTGAGTGGTGGTGGTGGTGGCTCTAAGGAGGTGGAAAGTCAAAAGTAACGAGGCTCTTCCACGCGTGTCTTTTTTAACTAGTTATTTTTTTTTGTGCATCTAATTTTGGGTTATATGCTCTTGTTGACCTGCACACGTTTGTACATGCGGGCTTGAATTAACGCGTGTTACACACGATGTGTTGTTACATGGCTGTTGCACATGTGCTTTGGGAGCACGGTGTTAAGGGAGATAGATGGGTTATGATCTCAGTGACTTGGGTTAGATTTGTATCGTTGGTGCACAACAGCATTGGCATTTTGAATCTGATGGCCTTGACGAGATAAACTCGGACATCAATGTACTATCTGGGCTGGTTTGAGATGGAATAGAGTGAATCACGTTAATAGGTTCTCGCTAACAGCATTTATTCCAACAATTTACAAGGTGAAATGGGTGATGTACATTTACACGTTATAAGTATATTTCTCAAAACAAAAACAGTACCGTATGTGTACATTAATGCTCCTATTGTTGGGCTTAAACGAGCACTTGCACAGGCGTTGTAAGGTTTTATTTGTGGTGCTCCTAATTAGGCTTGCATTAAAGCATTGGTTTAGGCCCGGTCTTTAAATGCTTAAAGACTAATCCAGTGTTGACGTTAAGGGGGACAAGCCAACAAGGTTTACAAAAAAAGAGATGTCTAAGCTGCAGTCGTGAGCGCACCCCAGATTTCTGATCGGTGTTTCTTTCCGAATAACCCATTTGTAATAGTTTCACATGCTTTAGCTACTTTCATGTGAGAGGAATTTTGTAGCGTTTAGTTCTTTGTTCAAATTAAAATACATTTCTAGGTGGTAGTACTACTGTAATATACATGCATTATTGTCTTGCTTGGCAATATTCATTTAGTGGCCACCAATTGTATTACTGTACGTTACATCTTCTCAGAGTTATGCTAACTTTTGGTAGGCTCTACATGTGAAGCTTAATCTATGTTATTATTAAACATGTTTAATATGGCAAGTGAAGCTGTACTTTACGCAGTGGTCAAGTTATGGTAAAAATATATTTGCACAGAGTGGTTGCTATTTTGCTGACTGTCATGTTTTCTAACAAGCTATTAAAAGTGCATACTATTTGAGGATAAAAGTACTACTACATATATGATATACCCAGGAAAATAGTAATTTCCTTAAAGCCCACAAGTGATAATTGAATGCTATTTTTGCATCCGTTTTTACTTCTTCACCAAATCAGTGTTGGCGTAATGAACTGCAATTGTAGCTTGGTAATCAAGTGCTATTTGTATATGTAAATAAAGATACAATGTAATTATTAAGTGTGATTCGTGTACTTGGATCAAAACGCACCTTTACCCCCCAATACTTGTGCTGCTGAAATGCACAACTTAATGAAACATTCGCTCAGAAAGAACCAAGGAGTATGGATCCCAGCAGTCACGAAAACTTCAAATCTAGATTTTATTCGCTCAGAAGTTTGGCTTCCAGCATCAGGTATGTGGCTTGCAAATGTTCGTACCAGCTTCAGTGGAACTTGAAAATAAACCAACAGGGTGGACGTCAATGAATGGATCATCTGGACCATCGTTTTACAATATATTTTTGGTAAAAAAAAGGCAAAACACTGGACCAGTTTTTGTTTGTCTTTAGTCTCTTTAGTAGTGTTCAGTTAAAGAAATGCTCTTTGGGTTCTAGGCAAGAGCCGTTCGTAAACACATAGGGCCCGAAGTCATATTCAGCAGAGTCCAGGAGATATCGTATTAATGAGTCTTAAATGTTTTTTTGTTCCTGCATGCATAGGCAGGTTTAAATTATAACTGGTCTGAAATTGTTACGCCTTTTGGCGTTGTTGCTGATTCAGGTTTCTGGCATTTATTCATCATTGCCGAACACGTCAAACCCCTTGTCACTGTGTTTTAGTTCAGTGTGTTGCTGTTGCTGAAAGAGCTGAACATTCTTACATCCCCCACAGCCTATGGGAAATTAAACTGCACTCGTGGGTTATGACGAAAGTAAACCATTGGGAAAGAATGAGATGAGTAAGACGCGGTAAGGCAGTCTTTGTTGGGTGTGCTGTGAAAACGAACCTGTGAATAAGGGGGGTTACTTATGTTTGTATGTTGAACTTCTTTCGCACCGTACGTATCCATGAGCAGGTTTCCCTATACTATTATAGTATCATCTAGTTTGTGTGTAACTGCTTATGTGTTTTTGGGAGCAGTTGTTTGCATTCCCCAAACAATTCTGGCCTGCTGCATGTATTCCTTGTCATGAATAACACAAGTAAAATGTGTTATTTGAACCTTTGAAGGGCCTCTCCTGGGTCAACTCAGTCTTAAGTAAATATCTGCGATGGAGGGCAAGGTGGATGTGGGTGTGTGTTCTGACCACCGAGTAAATACCTAGTGGGGAGCGGTGGAGTAGTGGTTAGCGTGCTGCGCTATGAACCCGGCGACACGAGTTCGACTCCCGCTTACGACCAACACCAGTGACGATTATCTGAACCGGTCCTGGGCCTCCCCTAGGTCGACTCTGCCTCAAATGAGTACCTGGTGCGGTGCGTAAACATTGCCACGAGGGAGACAAAGGCGGCCTGGTGTGGTGCTAGCCACCCACCATCCATAAATTCCAAGCAGACCGTCATAAGTGTGCGCTAACGGCACTTGCCCCAAAAGTCTGTTAATGCGATACCGTCGGATCTTTGTCTTTTTTATTGTTTCTGGCCA